TTTGGTGGAACCGGGGATTGAACTCAGGCCCTTGCACTTGTCAAACAAGTGCTTTCAAGATATATATTTTTTAATGGTACCAGTGATCAAACTTGGGAACTTGTGCTTACCAGGCAGGCACTTAAACCACTGAGCTATCTCCCTGGCCCCCTAGAGACCATACTCTTAAGTGAAATAAATCAGACCCATATGTCCAAACATCATTATTGTCTCTTTAGTGTGAGAACTTGAAGGAGAAAATGGAATCTGAAAGGTACAATAGAATCTTGGAAAGAAGGGAAAGAACTTTTTCAAAAAGAAAAAGTAACACTCTCCAAAGAGTTACTGAGTTGAAGAGAAGGACAGGAGAGGGAGTGGGGAAAGAGTTTATCTACATATATAAGCAAGATGGTTTAGACAACTGTGCTGTGGATTTTTGTTGATCTATGGAAAGGAGTAGATAATATTTAATTTGTTTTGTCTTCCTTTTTCAATTGTTTTTCCTTTTTTCATAATTTCTTATATATTTCTTTCTTCTTTCAATTTTGCATGCATATGTCTGGTAATATGAATGCCTACTTGGAAGACAACATTGTGCATTACAACACATACTGTGAAGTTTATATTATTTGTTAAGTGAAATTCTGTATTATTTGTAATTTTTCTGTTTTAATACTATTTTCTATTCTCTTTAAAAACAAAACCAGTTTTAAAAAATACTAGTACTGTACTTATCACTTACTGGATGAGTCAGCCATTCTGAGGGACACACAAGTGACTTGCCCCAAATTATAGTATTAGTAAGAGACAGAAGAAAGATTTAGGGGATGGGAACATAGCTCAGCAAAATAAGCACTTGCCTGGCAAGTGCAAGGTAATATTCCCTGGTATTGAAAAAAAAAGAAAAAGAAAAGAAAGAATTAAACCCAAGCTGCTTTTCTCTAATTGGTACTACTAAAATGAAACACTAATGAGTGGATATGCTAAGGTATATTAGAATAGCTCTTGAGGGGAGAGTACATAATCTATTCAAGTAAACTACACAGCCAAGTATAGAGAAATTCCCTGGGGATCTTACTCCTTTCTTCTTAGAAATATGTGTCTAATATTTCTGAGTCATCCAATTCATCAAGACACGATCATAAATTTCAGGTTCTTGTGTTTTGTCTTTGGGACTGTTCTTTCTAGACAGGTAAACTTGTATGTAGAACATCTGTATATCCGATTAAATAATGGAATAGAGAAAAGAAAAAGAAGTAGAATAACATAATGATCCACGTCCATACCACCTCATCAGCAATTAGAATCTGATAAGTTGAAACACAATGATGACAGATGAAAATTGTTTATATGGATCTATGTAGTATTTGTAAGCCTGATGGATAGCTGTCTTAAAGAATGTTCTACACTTTTAGCTTCATCAAGTAAATAATGTGGTATAACTTCCTGCAATGGCAAGGCTCTGTCCTAATATGCCTGGGTGTTTCAATAAGGTGACCAACTTCCTCTGATAATCTACGATTTGCTTCTCAAATCATCTACTAGATACATGACTAGCAATAACTGAAATCTTAAATGGTATTATAACATGAAGCACTGTTTACAACATGAACTAGTTTTGAGTCAGGTATGACAAATGTCAATCTCACTTTAGTTTTCCCACTCATTAAAACAATGACATGGGAGGTGAGGGAGGGCGTAGTTCAGTGAGAAACCATGTGCTTAGTTAACATGCACCAGTTTCTGGATTCAGTCACCAGCACCACTCTTGAGTTCTGTCTACTCTGGGAAAGTCATGCTCAGAGGTTAGATTGGGACAGAGGCTCTGCATTCTTTCCCTAGTGACACAAAGATGTGTCTTCCTCCTACACGTTGCTTTGGAGGTTCCTGGTATCCCAGCAGAAGTCTCTTGGGGAGCTGTGTGTGTACAAGTAATGCCAAGTTAGGATATATTCAGAGTTCTGTATCCCTTGAGCTCAACAGCTCTATCCTAGATGTGCCTCACGAGCTGATCCCTCAAGTCTGTGCTGCCACTTTGAACAGCCTTTCCGCTCTTTCAACAAAGAAATCATTTTGTCTGTAACCATGTGAGTCAAAGCATCCTACTAAACAAGAAAGATTTCAACAATTAATTGCTTGATTTGGTTCCCAGTGGTCCATGGGTCAAGCCAAGGTATTTGTGTTTCTCTAGGTAACTTCACAACACAGTTTCAGGGGCATATGACACTAGAATAGCATGACTAAACTGAAGGAATTTAGTTTTCTTCCTGGAGCCATATGACTTACATATAATAGCCATGCTTTCCTGGTTTAGTGGTTTCTTTAGTCCCAAAGACAAGTGTTCAATCTGAGCTTCTTCACATGGGATGTTAGATGCCACATTGGGCTAGCCATTCAAACTTTGCTACCCTGAATGTATTCAGCTAGGATATTTCTAAGGAACCACTGCACCTAGGTGGGTATTTAGGCATGGTTAGACAGTATATTTTGGACTCTCATATGTTTAAGATGTATGTGTGCCTTTGTCCATTTCCTTTCTGTCTAGTCTATGAACGTATTAGTTTGATTTGCCATATCCTGCTCAAATAGTATAACCAAGCTCAAATGTGTAGCAGCCATTACTATGACTACTACCAATGAGGCTACTATCAGAGAGAATGTTCCTTAGGAATTTCTTCTCTATCTAACTCTTTCCCCAGGATGCCCTGAGACAGGTGCTGGGTTCAAGCTGGCCTGAGGTTTTTGGCAAGGAGAGAAGTCACATACACTGGAAGCTTAACTAGCAGAGTGGGACCTCATGCTTGGTAAACAAGCAGCCAACAGCAGATGGCTCTTGCGAATCCATTCACTACCCCCTCTGGGTCAAGGCCAGATTTGAAGAGGGCCTTTAGCTATGAAATTCTATTACCAATCCCATTTCCAGTCCAGAGAGACAGTCAGTCCCCTGGGAGTAGAAAATAGCTGTTTTTAAGAACTGTGAATGAGATTGCTCCCTGAGATTCACAGCACTGAGCACAGAGTGGCTTACACTCAGAGTCACCACTTATCAACATTGCATGCATAGCACATACAGGAAAGCACATGCAGCTGGCCCACATCAACACCACACAGATGCCAAGTAGAGCCTGCCAGGAGGTATAGGACAGCACGGAGCTTCAACATGCAATAGGCACCGCCGACCCACAGAAGATGGGAGAAAGTGGGGCTGAAGGCTACAGCTGGCACAGGTCTGGGGCATTCTAAGCCCTAGAGCCCTAGGAATGTAGTCATCAAGCACTCCTAAGAGGGAATAACATCATCAGGGCCAGGATTTTCTATCCACTCAGAAACTCTGAACTTAGGTTTCTTTATTTGTTCTCATAATAACCACTCATCCTCAGGGAAAAAAATATATGCTCACACGTATGTTTGCCTAAGAGGGATCGTTAGTGATACATAAAGGAAACTACAGAACATAATCAATTCTATTTATAGGCTAGATGCAACCCTTTGATGAAGCTAAGGCCAAGAAAAAGGTAAACTACTACTTGTGTCCTACATTTTGGACAATTTGGCTGTTAGGTTGAATTTGCAACTGTCACCGTAAATCTGTACTGAATGCATTTTACAGCCCATTTGAAATTGCTTCAAAATTACAAAACCTAGCCACAGGCTATTTATATCCTATCCTCTAATCTTAAAGAAATCAGTGCCAAGCTTTGTTAAACAGGCCAGTGCTCCAGCCATCCCATACCCAGAAGAAAGGAGAAAGGTACGGCTGTGTGCTAGAGGGCCAACCTGTTTTGCTCTTTCTTTAGCTTGATGGATATTGTAAAACAAAAAACAGAAACCTAGGACCCAGCAGGATAGGTGCCTAACCTGGATTATTCAAGAAGGACAAAGCGGTGATGTGAAAGAACCAGAGTAAACCTGGCTTCCATTCTTCTTGAAACTGTTGATAACATCATGACTCTTACTGTGACATAAACACCAATAGTACTGGGTAATATACTACGGGCATGAATTCGTTATCCCACATTTTAAAAAATTTACCAACAATCTTATGGAGCTCATGTTCAAAGCCATTTAAACTCTGCTATCTTTAGTGTGTTGGTTACAACATTTCTAAAAGAATGACTGAATTCAAGTTGGTAGCGAGGCATGGTTAAGAACTCAGTCTCTTCTGGATCACACAGACTCCTAAGATGTGAATCCAAGTTTGGGGAGTTATTCTTTCCTGTAAGCTATGCCTATGTTCAGGATACACAGTTTTCATGCGGTGCCACTTTCGGGTGGTTGGGCGATGCCAACTGGATAAATAGTAGCTCCAGTTCATCCTGCAGCCCACTGACCAAGGCCTGGGATCATGGGAACATCTGTGTCTATGGAAGCAGAATCATCTGCGTTGTGAAAGGAGCAGCAGCCATGCTGCCGGTAGCCCACGTTCCAACCCCTGCATCGTGCATCGTTGGGAGCACTGAGTTCTCTGTAGTGTGCTGTGCCTTCGGCTGTGTGCTGACCTAATTTCCAGATTTAAGAATGCTTGGTACAAGCAGGTACATATTTATGTCATAAGTTCTACTTTGTCGTGTTGTCCACAATAATGATCAGAAAACTAAGTAACTTTCTTCTGCATTAATGTTGAAAGAATACACTTTAGTTGTCCTAAGAAATCTCTATGATTTTTATCAAACACTGATTCTTGGTTGTTTCAGTAACCACATAGCAGCATATGTCCTAGATATAAACTTAATGTCAATCAAACATTTCCCTAACAACCTTTCTTTTTAGCTAGTTCACCTTTGCATGGGAAAAGATGAAAGTAGCATAAACAGCCAACATTTGAAGAAATCACTAACTCCAAGGAATGTGTAACTCAATGGAAAGCAGTAGGCCTCATAACACACCCTCTAATGCCATTGTATGTAAGACCTACCCTTGGCAGGGTATCGTATCCTGGTCTGGGATCCTTGATTCTTCGAGTTGTTGATATGCTGGTCCCACAATTCCGCCTAGTCTGCTTCGGGGTGAGGGTGGCGTCCTCCTGAAGGCATTCCTATGGAGCATACCACTTCTCTGTCCAGGGCTACAGCAAGAGGAGAGACTCCTGCTGGGTTGAGGAAAACAAAAGAAACAAAAGCAACCCTCAGAGATATCACAGCAGCATTCTTCAGACCTCTCACACATAGCACTGCTCCCCAGACCCTCTGTGTCCCAGGCCAGAGACCATCGATGAATCAGACCATGTGTCTGGATGAGAACAGGTGGTGTCCAGTTTAATTTGCCAAGATAAAGAAAGGCTCCTTTGTTTTTGGCTTTTTAGTTTAGATAACTACTCACTGAAATAACTGAAGCTTTCCAATGAGAAGCAAGAGAAGAGCTTTAAGGTATCCTCAAGATCCCAATTCCTCTCTACCCTCAGTATTCAAGCTGTCTTTCTAATTGGAATAAAAATGGACTGATTAGAGACTAACAAGAACAAAACATAAGAAACCCAGTAGGGATTTATGGAGAAATTTTCACTTCTGAGTGGTAGAATAAACAGCCCTTACTTTAATTGGCACTCTTTCCTTAGCATATGTATTAAATTCTCCGTTCACTAAACCAGATTTTTATCAGTTTCAAACTTTTACTTTTGAGCCTGCTTTTAATAAATATCTGGTTGAAATTTCATTTGGTGTATATATCCAAAATGCCCACATATTCATGTGCTTGTAGATGCCATCAAAGGGCGAACATGAGATTTCAACAAAAAGAGACCCCATGCACTATGAAAAGTAAAGGCTAATGTGACCCATTACCTCATCCAGATCCAATCCTATCTCCATGCTACTGTGAGGAGAACTCGGGGTGTGGACATTAGCTACACACCAGGCTATGGCCAGCTAATTGCCATGCACAGATATGTGAATTAAGAAAGATATGGAGGCATCCACATTGATTCTGAAGATACAACTCTACAAAGATTTTTTTAAAGACTCTAAAATGTAAGCAAGGGGGTCAGGGAGATAGCTAAGTAGAATAAGTCCTTGCCTGGAAAGTGCAAGGGCCTGAGTTCAATCCCAGGTTCTGCTAAATAAATTAATATAATATATTATAATATAATATAACGTAATGTAATATAATATAATACAAGCAAGCCTATCAAGTTCTGAAGGGGACAGTCTCACAAAGGAACTTTATCCATATTACTGTATGACTTGGGTCTGTCACTCTTCCTCATCCATGTTACTATTATTTCTACTTACATATAAATCAAAGTTATGTACATATTATTTAAAATTGGAGTTTGAGGACTTGACAAAGGAGTGCTAGAAGCTACCTTTCTGGTTTGGGCAAAACGAATAAGCATACTTTATATTCCACAAGCCAACACTAATTTCTTGAACTGGGGCTGATAAGAGATCACAGATTGACACCACTAACATCCTTCACTCTCGACCATGATACATCCTGTCTGTTGAGTCCCAGGATACCTATCAGTAAAGTGTATTTAGCTTTGTCTCTGAGCCAATAAGGCTAAGGGCCTCCTCATTGTTTCATTCCCTTCCTATTCCTATCTCCCATCCCATGGCCATTATGGAATTTGCAAGATATGAAGGCCTGAGTGCTATGTTTAAGTGTGGGTATTTACTAAGAAGCATGAGTTGGGGCAGTACTTGTAGCACAGTCGAGAGAAATAAATGATGCAATGGTAAAAATGAGGAGATTTTACCATTGCAGACGTGAGTTCACTGTTTGAGAGAAAAAATACAATTGTAAGAGATACTACTGCCTCAGATCTAGTAAGAGTGGGAAACTGTTACTGTCCTTTGGCTGCAGACAAGAAGGTGCAACTACTAGAGGGGAGGGAGCTGCAATGCTAAGGCTACCAGCCTGGCTCCTCAGCCGCACTCCCCTCAAACACAGGGTAGTCATCCAGCAGGGAGGATAAGGGCAGAATTGCCACGACCTCACTTTCTTTCCAGCTGTCTCCTGCCTGAGCCCCACACTGATCCTACAAAAGCCAGAGGACAAGGGAGATCAGAGTCTTCCCGGTACACAGTGGAAGGCAGACAAATAGAGACTGGGTGTGCAGTGAAGGAGAACAGCAGACTGGGGTATCATTGTGCTGTGTGAGTGCCTTCCATAGGTTACTATGGAGGTCATAGGTGGCAGCAGCAGAGCCTGCCAATCAAGTGCCCCACAGCTCAATGTCTTCCCTGTTCTTCGGGCCACAACCTGGGACCTCAGAGTTTGCCGGGATCACTGAAAACCTTGAACTGTGTCACTGTAGGGGGTCTACCTACAAGCTTTTAATCAGCAATGTAGGTCACTGTTAATGCCTTAGCACATTTCTATAAGAGGCAGTTGTATTAGTTTTCTTTTTTCTTCTTCTTCTTCTTTTTTTCTTTTTTGGACTAAACATGAGAAATAATGGTTTTGTGTTAATAGCTTTGTTTCATAAATAAGTTATCCAAATGAGTTATTGTCAGTACACAAAAAAGACATTAATTATTCATACTTTACTACCCTGTCATGACTACAAAACCTACTAACGTGAAGTGGGGACCTGTCTTAAAAGAGTTCTGAACCTAGCAATCAATCAACTTTTCAGGCCTTTTCAAGCCCAGTGGCATTTAGAAAGTTATGGAATAGTTTGCAGGCTATAAATCAGTGACTGGGTTATCAATTCTGAAAATGTTTAAGTCTATTATGTGTTTTGCCAAACAAAACAACAACATATTAAAGTATAATTCACAAAGTTCTAAAAGCACTCTATAAATGAGCCCTCACCTATCTACCAGGACCCCATGCACCCCAAAAGATACCACAGTGTCACTCAGCAAAACAGAAATTCTCTTAAAGATGTCTTTATTTAATTTTTAAAAGAACACTAGAAACTTGGTAGAAGTTAAATTTAGCAGGAAATATAGACAGAGAGGAACTGGGGGTAAGGGCATTGGACCTCCAAAATATAATTTTTAAAAATTTCAACTGCAAAGTATTTATGCATAATATAGTCCTAGAGTAATATAGTAAACTCTTTCACTGGACTGAGAATATTATTTATGTTCAACAAGGGGAAAATACTGTTTTGGAAAAAAAAGATCCATCCTCTAAAAGGCCAGAAATTTTAGACTTATTTCCCTAATTAAGACAAATTCTACTAGGTCCAGTGAAGTAAAATGCTCTTTTAATGAGAAAATATTCTAGAAATTCAACAAATGATATATATTAAAGCTCCCAGTGAATACACGAAGAAATTATCCAAGAGTCAAACATATTTCTATCCTGAGTTGAAGTAGTTCAGCCATTTTTCAAATTGGCAAACCCTTGGTATCTCAGTAACTGTTCATGTAAAACAGGAATAAAAATCAGCATTGAATGGATTAGAGGGGTTACTGGGATGTGAAAACAACCGTGATCAGAAACAGGAAAATCCACTCATGAGACCCATGAAAAGGAAAGGAGAAAAAGTGTTCCTTTTCCGTGGCTGTGCTTTTGGCAAGGGGTGTGCAAATGCTCCTGAGATATATACAAGCCACAAATCAACAGCATCTGGCTTTCACAGCCATAATTAAGTTTTTAAATTATATTTTTAAATTTTGAAAACATGATTTTTGTACCAGCAAAGGAAGGCTTAGTCTAGGCTTCATTTGCATAGAGAACAAGGATGTAAATTTTGGACACATACATTATCTCTTATAGCACTTAGTCCCAGACCTTACCACTTGGCCTGGAGTATAAGTGTCTTCATACATAAAACACAAAACACAGACTGCTTAAACAAAGCAGTCAGGCTCAGGATGCTGTGGTTCGATCCCCAGATCCTCAAGCCTTACCAGTCCTGCCCTGAAGGCATCCTGAGCCAGGCCCTGTCCACCCAAAAATAATCCTTCTGAACTTAAAAAAAAAAAAAAAAAAAACACACACACACACACACACACAAAAGAAAATTGTGATAGAGAAGATGCTGAAGAACATGTGCAGATGCAGAATGTCATGAAATGCATGAAACAGTGTCATCATATTTGGCTTCCTCCCCTCAAGAACTAGTGCCTGTGGTCAGCTTGCTGAACAGTGCTACAGCTATAGAAGAGCTCAAGGGATCCCAGAGAAGGTTCATTAGCATTTCACCCGAAATAAATATTCTCCTCTTTGAGGACCAAGCTAGAAGATTTGGAGGGTCTGGGAGAGATGAGATACTGACTTTACAGATAGTGAAAAAGAAGCTTAGGAAACCCTATTCTTAATACTTTTTCCAAATGCATTGTTTCATTCAGTCTCTACCTGTAGCTTTGAAGGGTGGATTACTAGTTTTGCAGGCTATTGTAGGGAGAGGCATTGCAGGCTCCCACACATGCTGGTGTCATTGGATCTTTGCTTTACCTTCTATGAGCTACTTGGACATCTCCTTGGAGTACAACAGGAGATGCAAGAAATGTCACCTCCCTTGAGTACCTTACCCATGTTTTGGCACATGTGTGCAATGTATGCCCAGTGTGAGTGTGTCCACCCCCACAACAGTGAAGCACCTGTACCTGTGATGTTTGACAGATTGGCTTCCTCTGTCAGGAGAAGGGGCCTCGGGGAATGGCTGAGGGCCACCAAAACTTGACTCCATCATTTTCTCCAGTGCAGTCACGGGATGCCTTTCTGCCTTTGAATACTGTGGGAAATCACAGCAGAGTTAAGTTGGAGGTGTGTTGTGAGAGGAGTCAGTCACAAATGAGTTAATGATCAAGAAATTGCTAGAATGCCAGCATCCCTGGGCACAAGACCAAGAGTAGGATGTGTGTCTCCTTTCTCAGAAGTTCGACTACACACCCCACACTCACCCTAGTTGCCTCTGAGATTAGGTGAAATCCATTAAAGAGGTTTTTACTCAGCAATTCCATGTCTACAACCATTTCACACTGTTCCTTATAGTGAAGAAGCACTTATAAGCACACTGGATTCCACATATAATTTACAAAAAGAAAAATAATAAATTAGTAGCTGAACTATTCATTACAGGAGTTCCACGGGTACTGACAGAATGAACTCCATGATTTTCTGAGAATTATGAAGGACATTGATCCAGAATATCCCCACCATGGTCTACTGCTTTGCTTGTTCAGGCAGTTACTAGGTAATTACCCTGTCGTGAAGAATTTGTGAATGGTTCACTCTTGGTTGCTCCCAACACCTGGCTTCATCTTTGATTGTACTATTTTACAAAGTGCTGAAATCTAGAGATGACGCCGTGAGGGAGGCTTTGCTCCCCAAGAAACATCATGCAGCATCTCTAGGAGCCAGCAGCAGCAGGGCAAACACTCCCCAGCTACTTAGCTCTCAATACAAAGGATAAAAATATCTCTTAGGACTATTGAAAAAACTCAAAGAGGAAACAATGAAGATGACACCTTAACATATTTTCTAGTTATATGGTAACATCATCTCTGAGGTTTAAGAAACTAAGTCGGTGTTAGAAAAGACAATCTACACATTTCAGAGCAAATGTCATCTCTAATCAATTGGCAGAGGCTGCTTGGAATGTCATGTGTATCTGGAATTTAAGGATGACTTCTGAAATGAGAACTCAAAAAATTATTATACCTAGAATACAAATGAATCAAAGAGCAAAGAGTAGGATATATGTTATGACAAACATCTTATTAAAATGTAGAGTATAAAATTAACTTGTGAAACGAAAGTCTATATAATTTCAACATGTGTGGAAGTGATAAATATAAGGCTCAACACAATGGGTCAACTTGAGAGGTCTATAAGCCTAAGTAACTCAGCAGTTCTCCATTCTTAGATGTAGGAAACCATGTCACCACTGTTCTAGGATGTTGTTCATTATGTTAACTTAAGAAGTTTAACATCCTGGGCTGGAGAGATGGCTCAGTGGTCTAAAGCACCTACTTGGAACAAGCTTGGCAAGGCATCAGGGACCGCGGTTCAATCCCCCAGC